TTATAAAATACAGAAAAAATGGAATGGGTGTCTGTAATCAAAATAAAGCATTTAACTTAAAAGGGAAAACTCCCTTTTATTTCAGTAACAGAATTTCACAAGAACTACTCGACTCTAGTTTGGTCAAATTGAGGGGCAGGGGAAGGATAGCTTCATGGTTTTGGCTTTCTGTTTTGAACCCTCTGCCAAAAAATATCAAGCCGTATTTGGAAATTTAGAACTTGTATTTTGCCAGAACTTGAACAAGAACATCTGGAGTAGCTTATATTGTGGATTGGGTTGTTTTATCTGAGGGAACTGGGGAGGAAGGGGGAGAGCAGGGCACTTGTTCCTTCCCACTTGGATTATTTGGTGTTACTGCAAAACTGAGAGTCCCATGATGGCCTAACTCCTTGGCAGCAGCTGCAGTCCATCGTGAAGATGGATGATTCTCCCACACATCTCTTTGCTTAAAATACACAACCAAGTGCACACCCTTTCTCTTGCACCCCTTTACCTCTTTCTTCTCCCATGGCAGTGTTTTCCCTGGGGAAAATGTAATTGGGGTGGGAGAGGCAATTCTGCTTTCCCCGATGGTATATGTGTGGTTTGTGTCCAATGTGTTATTGGACATAATGGTGTGATAGTTCATGTGCTGATGATAACTTGGTAGGTCACTCACTGCCCTTTTTCCAGGCATTGATTTGAATTATAGTAATAAAACTAAAGCTGAAAATTGCTTGAAACAATGTAGGATGGAAGAAATTGTCACCTATACTTTCATTTTTGGAAGCCAAGACTGCTGGCCGCAGTGCAATGCCAGCAGCAAGCTTCCTGCTGTGCTGATGTGACAGCTACACAGCTTGACCTAACTTGGATGACAGCTTCTCTGTACTGTGTCAACCTGGCTGGTAAACTCTCCTAAGGTGCAGAAGATGGTCTTTGTGTAGGTGATCGACAGGCTTCTGCTACCCGTGAGTGCCTGTGGTTTCACTACACAAATACAATGCATTTTGAATATCCCATGCTTTTGGAGGTATCAGTTCTTAATAAGGAGGTATTTTCCTGAAGTTATGGCTTTGTATGGATGTGCTAGTTCTTGGATTTCTTTAGCTCATCTCAAGTGCTACAGATGTTAGAGAATAAGGATATAAAAGCTAGGTATTACCATTTTTACTGTCCTTCAGTCATTAGGAAATCAACTCATCATCAAACTGCTGATGCTCATGGCACTACAAATGTAAACATACTTGCTATTCACCATGCCTCGTATCACGCTAGCTATGTACATTTTGGATAAGATTGTGTGTTATTTTCTTGGAAATTCCCATGTCCATCTATCCGTCACTGCTTGTGTGTGGCAGTTGCACTGGTGCTAACGTGAGGATGGGGGAGTTTTCAAGAGTAGTCTGTCACCATCACTGCCCCGGTGACTGTCATCGGATGTACTTGGTTGCCTCTGGCTGACTGTGGTACGTGAATGTCACTGTTTTCTGTATTTTAGAGTTGCCCAGAGAAATGTCAGTCAGCCTGATGGAGCTGGTATGTGGCCAACATGACATATTTGGATTCTCAACCTTTATTTGGGATTGCAAACCAAGTACAGAAAGTAAATTCAGGAGCCATGGGCTGACGACCAGCCCCAGAGCATTGCCTTCCCACATACCAAAAGGATGCAAATGCAAGAGTTGGTAAACCTTAGAAGTGAGGAGGTACTGCCCCACTTTGTCATGGTGCAGGCTGTGACACGGCTTCACCCACTGGTATCCTTCCAGCTCCTCAGAAATTGAGAGGGGCTAACCTTGGCTGTACAGTGTACAGAAGACTGGAAATAAAATACTGCCCACAAAAGCAGACCAAATGGAGACACTTGAGTCTCTTCAATTCACCTTTTTTTTTTTTTTTTTTTTTTAAGAGGCTATGATTTGTTTAGGGGGCTTCTGTTTTAAAATGATGTGTTGTCTGGAATAGTTTAAAATGGGAAACATTTTGCTTAGGAGAATAATTTCAGGTTTGGCAAATATACCTTGCAGTGAATACCTAGGGGCCCAATCTATTTAATTTATCAAGGAAAGTGAATAGATATTGTCATGGCTGATAAATAAAGGCAAAAGAGAGCTGATCATCATCAGCCCAGCAAACAGATCCTAAAAGTTCAGTGTTTTGAAAATGAATACCTACAGAGGACAAATAAGCTCTGACTGTTTAACAGTGAGGGTAATAAAGCCTTAAAAGGTATCAAGGACTGTGATGGAGTCTCCATTACTGGAGGTTGTGTGATTTTTCTAGGTTGAGCGCTTCCCCTGGCACAAGAATTGTCAGGGAATCCTGTGGTTACTTCATGAAGAAGACCTGGATAGATCATCATGTTAATTGACCAGTTAAAAGGATATCAAAGGGAGAACTTTGAAAATATTTTTTTTCTCAATTTTTGTATTTAAAAAGGGACAATTTATTTTTTTATATTAGAAAAAAGTGATGGACTAAGGAAGCATCTTTTTTTCAGTGGTTTCAGTTCACAAAGCAACACCCTTCACCAAGATTTTATAGAATCATAGAATGGTTAGGGCTGGAAAAGACCTTAGAGATCATCTGCCCTGGGCAGGGACACCCTCCACTAGCCCAGGTTGCTCAAAGCCTCATCCAGCCTGGCCTTGAACCCCTCCAGGGATGGGGCATCCACAGCTTCTCTGGGCAGCCTGTGCCAGTGTCTCACCAACCTCACAGTAAAGAATTTCTTCCTAATATCTAGTCTAAATCTGCCCTCTTCTACTTTAAATCCATTACCCCTTGTCCTGTCACTGCATGCCCTTTTAAAAAGTCCTTCCCCATCTCTCCTATAGGCTCCCGTCATGTACTGGCAGGCTGCTATAAGGTCACCCCAGAGCCTTCTCTTCTCCAGGCTGAACAACCGCAACTCTATCAGCCTGTCCTCATAGGGGAGGTGCTCCAGCCCTCTGATCATCTTCTTCCAGCCCTCTGGACCTGCTTCAACAGTTCGACATCCTTCTTGCGTTGGGGGGCCCAGAGCTGGACTCAGTACTCTGGGTAGAGCCTCACAAGAACAGAGTAGAGGGGCAGAATCACCTCCCTCAAAGTGCCGGCCACACTTCTCTTGATGCAGCCCAGGATCCAGTTGGCCTTCTGGGCCACAATTGTGCACTGCTGGCCCATATTCAGTTTTTCATCTACTGATACCACCAAGTCCTTCTCCTCAGGGCTGCATTCAAGCTATTTTCTGCCCAGCCTGTATTTGTGCTTGGGATTGCCTCGACCCACATGCAGGACCTTGTACTTGGCATTGTTGAACTTCATGAGGTTGGCATGGACCCACCTCTCAAGCCTATCAAGGTCCCTCTGGTGGCATCCCTTTCCCCCAGCATGTCAACTGTACCACACAGCTTGGTGTCATTGGCCAACTTGCTGAGGGTGCACTCCATCCCACTGTCTCTATCACAAACAAAGATGTTAAATAGCACTGGTCCCAGTACCGATCCCTGCAGAATGCCACTCGTCACCAGTCTCCACTTGGACATTGAGCTGTTGACCACATCTAAATAAATGGCATTGACACCACGGTCCTCCATTTCTTTCCTGTGTTTTAAGTACATGGGCCAGATGTATCCATCAAAGAGACCCAGTGGGTCAGGAACAGTGTAGTTACATGTACTTCTCCTCCTTTTGCATTCATCATATGGAACTGCCAGGCAGTAGCTAATGTCTAATAGGTCTATCAGTGCTCTTGAAGAAGTCATCCTGGCAAACTACACAGCAGGGAGCACCTTAATGATTCTGTTGGTCAAGGTGATTTTGTCACCATTGGTGACACTGCACAGAGAGTTAAGACAAGAGCTGGGAGAACCGTGTTAGAGTGTGAGCATCCAGCCAGTTCCTTATCCACCAAATGGTCCTTCTGTCAAATCCATGTCTCTCCAACTTAGAAACAAGGATGTCATGTGGGACTGTGTCAAAGGCTTTGCACAAGTCCAGGCAGATGATGTCAGTTGCCCTTCCTTTATCCACCAGCGCTGTGGCCCTGTCGTAGAAGGCCACCAAATTCGTCAGGCACGATTTTC